ATGAAGAAATGAAGAAAGAACTTCTTACCGAGGCATATTATAGTCTTTTGACTATGTATCCAGGTGGAAACAAGATGTATCATGACGTGAAGAGTCGATATTGATGGCCAGGCATGAAAAGAGATATCACCGAATTTTTTTAAGTTCCTAACATGTCAACAAATTAAAGCGGAGCACCAGCATGAAAAGAGATATCACCGAATTTTTTTAAGTTCCTAACATGTCAACAAATTAAAGCGGAGCACCATGTGCCTTCTGGATTATTGCAACTGATTTTCATTCCATAATGGAAATGGGAACGAATCATGATGGATTTTGAAACAAAGCTACCTTTGACACACAACAAGAAATATTCAATCTAGGTGATACTTGACATGTTAACCAAGTTGGCGCACTACATTCCAATTCGAACTTATTACTCTATGGATAAATATGTTGATGTGTATATTAAAAAAATAGTTTGACTAATGGAGTGCATGTTTTAATAGTATCTGATAGAGATCCAGGGTTTACTTCATGATTTTGGAAGTCTTTGCATAAAGCCTTAGGTACTCGACTAAATTTTAGTATAATTTTTCATCCTCAAACAGATGGACAATTAGAGAAGACTACTCAGATCTTGGAGAATATACTAAGGGTGTGTGTGATTGAATTCAAAGGATCATGGGAAACGTATTTTCCTTTAGTAGAATTTGCCTATAAAAATAACTATTACATGAGTATCTAGATGGCTCCTTACGAATCCTTATATGGAGGAAAGTGCCTAAACACAATTGAATTGGTATGAGTTGAGAGATCAAGACATAGTTGGTCCTGATCTAGTTAAAGAAGTGGAAGACAAAGTGAAGATTATATAAGATAATCTTAAGATAGCATCTCATTGACAAAATCTTTATTCAAACTTGAAGAGGAAAGAGATTTAATTTCAAGTTGGTGATAAGGTATTTCTTAAAGTATCATTGTGGAAAAAGATCTTTCAATTTGGACGAAAAGGAAAGCTAAGTATGAGATGATGTATGAATGATTCTACAAGCTTTAGAATGGTGTTAGGACCAAATTGGAAGTTTTTTTAAAGTTATAGGGACCTATTTGCATATTGTGAGAATATTGAGATTTAAATGGAAATTGTTCAAAAGTTTATGTATTAGGATTGAATGCATTGTTGGAATACTTGAATATAATATTAGGTACTTGAATCAATGTTTAATGGAAAATGACCATTTTAAATAATTTGTAAATATTGAGGAATTCTAAAAGAATTCATTTTAATGGTTTAAATGTGAAATTTGAAATGTCATGGGAAAGTAATGATGAATATGAATAGTAAAGGACTTGAAATATGATTTTAAAGTATTAAGGTCAACATTGATGTTGTAAAATGGAATTAGTATCGAAAGAATTTTTAGGAATTTTATGCTGAATATGTGTTTATGTTAGAATGATACTAACATATGCTTTGAATTATATGTTTTTGGTAATTAATTCTTGTGCAGATCATGATCTAAATCAAGATACAAGCAAGATTAAAGCAAAGGAAAAAGTTTAAGAGTTAAGCTAAAATCGATAATAAGTTTTAGTAGTGAGGCATCAGGTGATTGCAGTTTATTATTTTAAATATGTACATATGATATGAAAAAGATTTACGATGAGTCAACCTCGAATGATTTGGAAATAAATTAATTTGAATCATATTGTGATATATATATATATATATATATGGATACTTTGATAAATAAATCATTTATGATTTTGATATAAGTATTAATGTTGATACTTATGATATATTTTCATATGGTTTTATTTAATGATATTTGAATAATTTCTAAAATGGCCTTATAGATGATTTCGGGTATGAACTGTTCATCGCACTTGCACATGATATTTTGATATGTTAGTATTTGTTAATACTTTTGATAAATGAAGAATATATGACATTGTTTTAAAAAAACCATTGTATGTTTATTGAGAGACATGATATAATTGGCTTGCCATGAGGTGGAGTAGTAGTAGGTAACACAATATAGTACATGGTGCATAATGTACTTTCAAGATACATTATATGGCATAAAATAGTACCTGGTGCAATGTATTCCTTGTTATTAATATTTTGATGTTGTGTTCTACAATATGATTATATGGCACTAAAATGTGCAACATGTGTATACTCAATATAGAATCATATACCATGCATTCTCATTCATAATACACTGGGATATGATTTGAATATATGAATAGTGTATGTCATATGATTTGAATGACAAAAATATATTTTATCGAGTATTTTTATATGGTATTTATAGTACTTTGATTATTATGAAATTTTATATATTGAAATGTTTTACTTTAGTATATATATGTCTAGCTAAGTGAATATTTAGCGTGTGAATACTTTAGTTTATACATAAGGAAAAGCGTATGGAGTAATTAGTTAGGCTTGACATTATCTTTTGAGGATCATATCAGGTACAAGTATCAGTATAAGATCTTTTGATGTTTTTTTCATTCCTAGTTGACATGTATATTTTATTTGCTATGTATGCTCTAATATAAATAGGTTTTAAACCGGTTTGTATAATTAGATATGTAAATTAGAAGGGTTATTACTAGGTATAAATAATATTTTGCTTCTTTAGCAGTTTATTAAATTATATTTTAAATGCTATCGGGATGAATTTTAAAATATCACTATAGCAAAACAGAGTTTTAGCGGCATTTTTTTAGTCTTATAACGGCGTTTTTAAGCGCCGCTAAAAGTATTTGCGGCGATAGGAAAAAATCCGCAAGAAGCGCCAGCAATACCAACGCCGCTAAAGTTAGCGGTGTTTGAGAACAAAAAACGCCGCAATAGGTCAATATCTATTACGACATTTTTTGAACAAACGCCGCAAAATGTCAATATTAATAGCGGCGTTTTTTGGAACAAACGCCGCAAAAAGTTATGATATATAGCGGCGTTTCTAGAAAAAAAAATGCCGCAAAAGGTCAGATCTATAGCAGCGTTTTTTTATACAAACGCCGCAAAAGAGCAGACCTATACTGGTGTTTTTAGAACAAACGCCGCAAAAGGTCAGACCTATAGCGGCGTTTTTGGACACAAACACTGCAAAAGGTCAGACCTATAACGGCGTTTTTGAACACAAACGCCGCAAAAAGTCAGACCTATAGCGGCGTTTTTTTATACAAACGCCGCTAATTACCTTTCTTTATCTAATTTTAATTGATTTTGCATATTTCATTTCTGCTATACATCACCTAAATTTATATCTAGCTTTATCTAATTAACAACAACCATACATTTTAATTAAGACAAAAAACATAAAGAAAAATACTTAACAACAAAATAAATTAAAGTTTTTTTTATGGAGAGAGAACCTTAAAAGACATTAAAGTACAAATAAGTTACAATTGAACCTCAAAGTGTAGATATACATGGATTTGTTGTTCGATACATCCTCAATTTCACTAGCGTCATCATCATAACCTCCAGATATGCCTTCTAAATCTACTTTGTTTCCCACTTCATTGGAATTTGTCATATTCATCTTCTTGACATCTTATTTGAAAGTATCATTTGACAGTGAATGATCTCTCCTCATTAGATTAAAAACAAATGGGAAACGTTGTGCCAGTCTATTGAAGAAGCCGCTTTTTGTTGAAGTTTGTTCTTCAAGATTACTGCAATTACAATAATTTAGATGAGACTAAGAAGAAAAGGAAACAACCAACATAACTTGCATTCATAACATACATGTGAGTGATTGAGAACTGAAAAAAGATGTTGCAACAAACAACAAAAACAGGAAGTCAGGAACCATGAAAACTAAAATATATTCTACATAAGAATGTAAAAAATGTCATCATAAAGAAAAAATTTAATAATGTATTGGTTGCCATCTTACTTTTAGAAGTTAGAATTCTTACCCCAAGATAACAACTGTTGTGACTAGATGAATTGTATACTGATTGGAGTTTTATCAATGAACTAAAAAGAATAAATTTAAGTAAGGAGTTTATGTCACATATATCTCAACATTTCAAATGAAACTTATGTCACATCTGCAATAAAATTTTCTTAATAATACCTTTACCCCTGCACCAATAAAAGGGAAGTCATGATTAGCTTGCGAAATTGAAGTTCTGATGCTGTAACCAGCTCCAAATCTAAGTTTTGCATATTTGTACTTCCCAAGAATCTAAGCAAGTTTGTATTCTTAGAAAAGTTAAGGAATACAAAAGAGGATAAGCAATAAAATCTTAAATTTTGGATCAAGAAGCATGCATGTCTAAGTCCCTCAAATTTCAACCGATGTCGAGAAAAAAGTGTCAGTAGCATTTAAGAACAGACTATAAAGGGTTGAGTAATAATAAACTCATGGGTAGTAACTAGAACAAAATGCAATGTCAGGTCAACTCACATTTATAACTTCTGAAACTCCAAACACCTTAATATTATCACGAACTGCATCAATGAGTTTTCTTTGCATCTCCTGGAGAATTCCCAAAGCTTACCAATGATATAAGCATGGCATAAAATTCAGAGCCAACCCAACAAGGCAAAAGAAATGCTGACACTTATGACAACTGATATGGCATTTATGGCAAGTATAACAACATTATTGGTAGTTCTCAAAGTCTCATCTAGAGTTGCCAACTCATTTTTTAGCAAGGAGTCGGTGTCAATTTATGCGAATAAGAAAACCTGTGAGAACTCTCGATATTATAATGGGAGGCTTTTAGAGATCAATATCATAAATGATATAAATAGATTATCAATGAATTTTTTAAAAGATGATAAATACTCAACTAACAAAATCTTTATGTCATGCTTACCAATACAAAAATTTGTCATCTCTTGAAGTTTTCCCGTCAAATCCTTGAACTGCAAATTGTATTACAAAAACTGAGTTAAGAATCAGTTTGAATTGTTGTCATAGTTATAAGCCAATAACCTCAAATTTCAAACTTCCCCCTACCGGTACACCCAAAAAACGACTTGTTACAGGTGGCAGAGAAGTTAATGATTATGCACGAAGAATGTTAGGAAGGTAATTATCAATCTATTGAGAAATTGAGGACTACAAATCCTCCACCAGTCGCTCATGTCAAACCGGTAATTTCTAGTTATTCAAACCTTTCTGCTTATGTGTTTTGTAGAATAAAATATACTACATGATACTGTCTCTATTGATTTTTGCTTCTATTTATTCTTGCTTATTTCCTGGGCTTTGATTCAATGATCAATATAGCTGTGTTGGTATGTTGAAGGTAACATACGATATTCTACTCAAACTAGAAATAATTCATAGATAAAGAGTAGACTAACACCCCGTGTTTTCTAGATTTCAATCACAGAAAAATCAATTCTTTGCCGCAACCAAATTTACCAAATCCAATACAGAAAATCTTTGCATATTGATATGTAGAGCTTTGAATTAACTTTTGAGCTACAAATTACAACTTCAAATTCTTAAACAAAGTAAACAATCAAATTATCCCTGATTATCAAATCAAAATTAATCATAATAATAAAAGACAAATACCATTCTTTCTTCGATTTCAGCTAGTCGACGAATCACAATCCAGAACAGTGACATCAGTGTTCTACCTTCACTCCCATTTGATTTTCCAAACCTTTAAAAATACACATAACTTTCACATTTAGTAAACAAAAAAAACCCCTAAGCTTGCAGAAATTAGGAAAAGAGACTATAACCGACACCTCCACCTTGGAAAGAGAGATTCAGAAATAACTTAGAATTTCAAGGATTATATCTTTATATGAAAACAGAAAAGAGACTATAACCGATGCCTCCACCTTTTGAAAAATATTTCTGAAAAGCCCGAGTTTCAGGTTAAAAGAGAAGATAAAAAAAATTTGTATTCTATTTCCCTGAATAATAACACATACATGTATAGCGGGATAAGTGCAAATTCAAGAATGATGAAACAGGAGCAGATATATATACAACCATAGTAAGAGTATGAGAGGAAAAAAAAAATAACACTTACAATAGAAAACATATAAAATAGTACTAGAGACCGGGATAAGTGCAGCAGAGTGTACCCTGAGAAAGTGCCCGGCAACTCCTCGATGTTGAGCTCAGGCAGGACGACAGCCTCGCCGCCGCCACCGCACTGTGCAGCGGCAACAGTGAATACGCACATCCCAGCTCCGAAGGACACCTTCCATCATAAAAAAATAAACAAAAATAATTATTATAACTTCAAAATAGTAAAACGATAGCTCCCAATTCAGGAAACAAATGGTTACAGAAATTGTAATCTAGAAAATGGAAACCAAAAATGGTACCTGGAGAAAGTGAAACGACGAAGAGGAGAGGTGGATTGGAAGGGGAGAGATGATCGGGTGGAGGAGGGAGCAGCGGCAGATCTTGAGAATGGGGATTTTGGACCGTTGGTTCTAAAGGCAGATTTGATGGAGGAGGATGATCTACTGATGAAGCTCTTGCAAGCTGAAGCCATTAGCAAATAATAAAAGGAGAGAGGAAATTGAAAAACTTTACTAATCGAAGCTCAAACCTCGGAGGAAGTAAAATGGGAAGACAGGGTTTAGGTATTACCTCACATTGTCATTTTCGATTCGAATAAGTAAAGCAAAACCCTACTCATTCAATTGTTAACCACAACATTCGCATTATTTACAGTCGTACCCTCTCACCCTACTTATTCAATTGTTAACCACAGCATTCGCATTATTTACAGTCGTACCACAAATAAAAAAATATTTCTGAAAAGCCCGAGTTTCAGGTTATATGACAATTGCGGCGTTTGGTATTAAAACGCCACTAAAGTACGAGTCTATAGCGGCGTTTGGTATTAAAACACCACAAAAGTACGTGTCTATAGCGGCGTTTGTGTAAAAACGCCACTAAAGTACGAATCTATAGCGGCGTTTGGTATTAAAACACCACAAAAGTACGTGTCTATAGCGGCGTTTGGTATTAAAATGCCACAAAAGTACGTGTCTATAGCGGCGTTTGTGTAAAAATGCCACTAAAGTACGAGTCTATAGCGGCGTTTGGTATTAAAACGCCATAAAAGTACGTGTCTATAGCAGCGTTTGTATAAAAACACCACTAAAATACTAGTTTATAGCGGTGTTTGTATAAAAATGCCACTACATTACGATTCTTTAGCGGCGTTTTTATACAAACGCCACTAAAGTATAGTATTTTGCAAAAACGCCGCTATATGCAAACAATTATCGGCGTTTGCAGTAAAAACGCCGCTACATCCGCCGCTGAAAACAATTTTTGCTGTAGTGTATGCAGTTTCATTGTTTACATGAAACAATATTGAATTTATTGATGCATAAAATCATATTTGATTTAAATGTTAAAATATTATAGTTTGGCTTTACGCAATTAATTATTCTTAATGTTTGATGTGATATCTCTAATTTGTATTCAAATATGGATACGAGAAAGGGTGTTACATAGTTGATGTAATTAAGTTTTATTATATTTGAAAAGTTAATAACCACAAAAAGAGAGATATTTTACAAAGGGAAGCACTATTTTTAAATAGGGAAGAGGGGACTTGAAAAAAGGGAAAGTTTGAATCAATATATTTTTACCTTAGCTCAATAGCTTAGCTCGATTATGTCAACTATCCTAATTCAAACCATGAACTAGTCGAAATAGTAAACTGACCATCATCAAGCCAACAACCCACTCCCATCAACGATAAACCCGTCAAGTGATCACCAGATAAATCAAAGGGCAAAACCAAATAGAAAAACCAAGAAACCAAAGAGAGGTAGAACAACTGACATGTTGGAGTTTCTAGTTCCCGGCGAAGAGGCGTTGGATGGAAGATTCTTTTGGTAAAAAGGTAGAGGTTGTAGTGGAGCAACATACTACAATTTTGTTTCCATCAGACGGTGAACGACGATGGTACAAGGGTCTTTAACTCTTGAGTATCAAAAGGTTTTCCATATATCTACTAATATCTGAAGTGATTGTCGATGATTGGTGGCCATATTCACGAAGAGGAACGCGATATGGTTAAAATGGTGGCTATTGGATTCAGACAATCACCGGTAACGACAGTCGGTGTGGTGGTCGGCGACGCTCATTGGCATCTAATATTGACCAGATAAGTAAACTTCTTTTTGTTTGAAAGAGATGACTAGAGGAAATAGAAACAATAAGGGAGAATAGGGGAAATGAGAGAGTAAGAAATGGGTTTAACTTGGTATATGGGGACCACCCAAAACTATGATTTTTTGAGGTTCTTGAATTGAGAAGATGGGCAAAATACTGTAGCAGTCCTCTAGGTTGGGTAAGACTTTATCTTTGTCCTCCAGTTTTAGTTTAGTTATAATTATACCTCAATAGCTTAGCAATCCTCTAGTTATATTTATGGTTATGGTTACAGTTATAGTTTAGTGTTTATGACCATGAATTGCTTGGATTTGTGTTGAAAGGGTCAGAAGTTCGTAATTAAAGTCGGTAAGCTTGATTACAGGTTATTAAGGTGAATGCATCTCATACTCTAAAATATTTCAAGGTCTTTATAATTATGATACATTGCATGTTGTGTTTGAACTTTTGATTAATATTCAAATAGAAATCAGTAAAATTACCATAATACTCTTAGATTTACATAGGGAATAACGAATGCCAGAAACGAATGCTGGAATATAAAATCCTATGAAAATAGCATAAGACATCAGTAATGAACTCTTGTTCTTTGTGTTTCATATGTTGTAAATGACTAAAGGTCAGTGAAAATAGATGTTTTTCATAAATAAATTGTTGTTGGAAAGATTATGAGGAGTTTAGTAATGTTCAACACTTTGAGAAATCAAAATCTAGGTTCGAGTATCGATACTGTTATAATAGTGTCGATACTGTTGAGGCTTCTAGAAAATATGGATAGAAATGCTAAGGTGGTATCGATACTATTTTCCTAAGTATTGATACCAATAGGTGAGTATTGATAATAAGACTGTCGATATGGGTACTCGACAATGACTTATAAACTTATGAAATTTCAGAATGTCCTTTTGTATGGATACCAGCCTCAGTATCAATACTTGGGTAAGTGTGGTACTGATACTCTTATCTCTGTACCGTTATTAAAGAGTACGAAGATTATATAATCTTGAGTTCAATAGCTAGCAAATAAAGTGAGGGTCGGTACGAATGGGGTATTGAAATGGACGAAAGATAAAAGGAAACACGAAGGTTATTAATTGTTGCTATATATTTATATATATGTGTGTGTAATTGCATTCATTTCAGGTGTCTCACGAGGGAGCCCCGAAGGATTAGAATAACTTGCACGATAACGCCTAATCATATTTAATTTTGGGTGACTCGCATGGGAGCCCCGAAGGATTAGAGTGACTCACACAAGAACACTTAATCATATATATTTCTAGGTGACTTGCACCGAAGGATTAGAGTGACTCATACGGGAGCACCTAATCATATTTATTTATGGGTGACTCACACGGGAGCCCCAAAGGATTATAGTGACTCACACAGGAGCACCTAGTTATATTTATTTCGTGTGACTCACACGGGAGCCCCAAATAATTAGAATGACTGATATTGGAGTATCTAATCATATTTATTTTCGAGTGACTCGTACATGAGTCCCAAAAGATTAGAGTGACTTACACGGGTGCACCTAATCATTTATATATATATATATATATATATATATATATATATATATATATCTGGTGATTCAATGGGAGTATTGAGAGAAGGGTGATTATCGTACTAATTATACACTCGATTACAAGAATTATATTATTATATGTAAGGGTGTTCAAACGGTTAATTTGGCCACTGACCGAGTAGAATTAATCAAACTATTTTTCTTTATGTATTAACCGAACCAAATAAAGTTTAGTTATTTTAGTCAGTTAATCGAATTAACCATAATTTTTAAATATTTTTAACTAGATTAATTTGAATATAATAGAAATATTTTTTATTTGGATTCAAATTTAATTTGGTATTGATAATTTAATGAGTCTAGTGTGGTTAAAAAATAAGTGGGTCATAATTCTTAGTGGGTTTGAACTTAAGATATGTATTTAATATATTTTATATATTTAATATTTCATTATTTCAGTTAATTTAGTTAATTAACCAATTTCAAACCAAATTCACCGTTAATCGAATATTGAAAAAAGAGTTAATTGTTCCCCGACCGAACTAATTCGGTGGCCGACCGAAATAACCAAACTAATTCAGTTCAGTCGGTTTATTCGATTAATAACAAAAACAAATGAGCCCCTCTAATTATGCAATTCTAGATAATCATGGTATTCACTCTAGCAATTATAAATGAAGAATGATTGAGACAACATAGTTGATTGGTACATAACACTTGATATACAATAACTTAATATATACTTCTATTGATGCCAAAAACTTTAGTAAGATAAGCCTTTATGTAACACCCCAAATTTTGGGCTAGTAGTTTTGGGTTTACTTTAAAGGTGTGTGGGCCTTAAGGATTTTGTAATTGAAGTTTTTTGGGATGAGTATGGGCATAATTGGATGAGGATTAGGCCTAATTAACCATTAAAAATGGGATTTTTTCATAGCAGATGAGAAGAGACCAAAAACATAATTATCCCATTATTAAAAGATGAGAGCTTTTATCTCTTTCATCTCGTTCTTCTCATCATTTCCTTTATTTCCTTCTCCCATTTCTTCTCCAAGTACCATTGCTAAAGGTGAGTTTTTTGATCTTTATAATTCATCCCCAATCCCTCCAGTAACTTTCTTTATGTTTAGAATCTCATAATTTACTTTTTGGCTAAAGAAAGAGGGTGTAAATTACCATAGTTCACGAAAAGTGGGAGAAAGTAAATTGAGAAAGGAGCTTCATTTCGGGATTCTAGCATCAAGATAGTGTGTTTATAATATTTTATGGTATTAAGGCTTTCATAAGAATGATTATTTGTTAAGATTTGAGTATTTGAGTATTTTAGGGTTTATGCATGCTTTTATGATTAGAGGACATTTTTATGACATTTTATAACCCTAAGTAACTTCCTAAAGCTTTATCTCATTTTTAAGAAACAAACTAGGACCTTTGGGATGATTTTTGGGTGTTTCTCAAGCTTAAACAAAGCATTTCTAGGTTTGAGCATTGATATTGGATGAACAGTATCGATACTGGATGAACTGAGACAAAATCTAGGAATTTCTAGCAGGGAGTACCAATACTAAGAGAGAGAGTATCGATACTGCCACTACAATATCGATACTGAGGGTACATGGTATCCATATTTGGTCAATGTTTAGTAGAAAGAAGCCATTTTTGGTACTAGTACTCATGGGGTATTGATACTTGACCTCAGAGTATCAATAATGCAAGTAAAGTATCGATACTACACACTTCGGATAGTTAGATTTGACATCGTTAAGGCCTGTATAAGTTAAGGATAACCTGTAATAGTGGAGCTTAGTTCGTGAGGGACATAAATGATCATGAGAACCTAAAAACACTCATAGGATTGGGTTACAACTTAAGTACACATACTAAGTGTAATACATACAAGTATCTTTAGTTGAGCATGTCTCGAATAATTAAGAACGAGGATTATTGTAGAGGATGTACCAACAAGTGGTATGATAAGTCTGTCATATTACACAATAGCGAAATTGTGTACTCTAGGAACGTTTGTGAACTGAGAACGTATAAGTCGCCTCTCCCATTCAAGGGGTATTAAAGATAAGTGCGATGAACGACTAGAGTGTCGCTACCCAGTAATGAACCTGAGTCAGGTATCAGGCTAGCTAGGGTTACAGCCGGTGGATCAATAAACATAATAATCATTTTAAAATCATGAAATACGTAGATATAGAAACGACTAAAACACCCTTCACTGTTAAATAACCAAAATAGAAAAGCTTAACAGACTAATATATAAACAAACTAATAAACCCTCGTATAACATTCTAGATGAGAGAATGAATGAGATAGAAACTAGTGAAGGGGATGGCCTCACCTTAGTATGTCGAGCTTTGCTAGTGTGTGGCGAGGCTACCTCAGTTTCCATAGTGGGGCATTGTCGGTGGTGTGTAGCTAGCTATCTTAGTTATCCTCAACAAGCATTGTCAGTATTTTATGGATTTCATATCTTAGTCAAGCATCTATATTTGCATCAATCCAGTACATCAAATATCTTTAGATCTTGACTTGACGACTATGCGAGACCGGCCAATGCTTTAGTTGAGCGGGAATTGTATCGATTGCTATGTGATGATCAGATTCCCCCTCCAGTGAGACCAGAATATCATTTAGCAGCTTAGTTAGAATTTCTCTGACACTATATGACACCAGGTGTAACACCCCAAATTTTTTTTAGTGACCAAAATATAAATTTTTAAAGTTTGTAACCAAACTATAAAGTTAGAAAAGCTCAAGGACCAGAAAGGTAATTTTCAAAAAGTTAGCTAATCTAAACCCGTAAATAAATAGGTCACCCTTAAGTGTGGGGTTTCATGGGAATCAGTTTTGGATCTAAAATTTATGTTAAAAGCTATAAAATGTTAAATTCCGGTAAAAATTCGATAAATCGGATCGAATAAAATATTTTGAGAAAAATTGAAGGTTATTAAATCAAGCTTAAAAATATTATTTTCACATGTTAAAATGATTAAAAATAATATGGATCATTGGATTTGAGAAATTATTGCCAATTTTAATTTGGATCGTTTGATGAAAAATTGCAAGATTGAAATTTTGGAAAGATTGCATGGGAAAAGTTGGAAAGGGTGAATGAGTTGGTTCATATTTGATTTTATATAGATGATTAGAGTTTTGTGGCTTGGTATTAAGGTAAATATCAAGTTTCATTAAGGGAAAATGACATTTCTCATTAAATGAATATTATATTCATTTAAGCTTAAATAAATGCCAAAATAACATGAAATTAAAGGAATATTTCATGAAATCAAGCTATTTTTCATCTCCATTTCGTGCTCCCCCATGCCTAGGTAAGAGAAATTTTATTTTTCACTTTTGAGCAATTTTCGTTGGACTTTGGATCGAGCTGTGAACTAGAAAATTGTTTTATTCGAAAAAGGCTATCATTTAGTACCCTTATTGCATGCTAATTTGGTTTGTGTTCAAAGATCCCAAATTCTAGGGTTTATGTTCGTATTAGAGTTTCATGATTTGATAAAGGATTTAGATGTTTTTGGGGTTGTAGAATTATTTCCAAACATGATTGATGATTAAAATCAACTATATATGGCTACATATGTTAATATAAGTTTTGGCCTAAACCCTAGCTTATGGGGAAAGATATGTTTTGATGAAATTAATTTAGGGGTTTGATTGTAGAGGGCTTGAAATGTTGAATAGAGGTTCATTTCATTCTTGAATCAAGTGAAAATCATGAGATTTACACCTCAAAAGTATTCGACCTTGAAGGAATTATTGGGGGGAAATTGTAGAAAAATCCCCATGGCTTAGAAATAAGCCTTGAAAATAAATTCTGGGTCATTTTTAAATTTTTCAAAACTTAATGGATCATTTTAGCAATTTTGAAAAGTTATGGACTAATTGTGTAATTACTTAATAATTAATGTACTTTGCTAGAAATTACTGTTTGAGGGCTAAAATTGAAGTTAGAATGTGAAATTAAGCTATTTTGGAAAGTTGGCAAAGTTTAAGTACAAAATGGTAAATATTGAGAAAGTTAGTGGCTTAAGGGGTAATTATGTTATTGTTGTAATTACTCAATAATTGATGTACATTGCTGGAAATTACTATTTGAGGGATGAAATCAAAGTTAGAATGTGAAATTAAGTCATTTTGCAAAGTTGGCAAAGTTTAATTACAAAATGGTAAATATTGAGAAAGTTATTGGTTTAAGTGGTAATTATGGTATTGTTGATATATTGGGATGGAAATTTATTGGGCTTAGTTAGGCCTTGAATTGAAGGAAATAATGGTAAGGGCCCATTATGAGTCAAAAGAAAAATTAAGATGAATTTTAGAAGAATTCAAAAATAATGATACTTTTGGGTATTATTATCATGTATAAAATGATAGTAAGAGTACTAACATGTCTTTTATATTTGTATGTACTTGTATGGATGCTTGTGTAGATCGTGATCAAAACCGTGATAAAAGCAAAGCGAAAGGCAAGAAAAAAGTCAAAGAGTAATCGAATAATGACAGTAAGGCATAATAGTGAGGCATACTAGGTGAGTGCATTTATTATGTACTTGTATGATATGAGGATGACTTGCGATGAGTCAACCTCGAGTGTTTTTATTAAACATGTTTTGAACGCTTTTTAAAATATTTTTCATAAAGTTTTATGAATATGATTTTACGAATGATTTGAACTACCCTAAAACGAATGGATGTGTTTCACACAAATTATCATTTATTGATGGTTTGGAATAAATGTTTAATTTGCACTTTGGATTTTAAAGCCTATTGTATGTACATTGAGAGCCATAGGTACAATTGTAATACCATAAATAAGGTGGTTTGTAGTAGTACTTTGTGTACTGAAGCACTATGTATGTAATTGACATACATGGTGTATGATGGTTTTGTAATACCATAAATAAGGTGGTATTGTAGTAGTACTTTGTGTACTGAAGGACTATGTATGTAATTGGCATACTTGGTGTATGATAGCTATCGATCAATTTTGTTTAATGCACTTGTTGCATATTCTTATTAGTATCTTTGCATACTATAGGCACTTTGTGTGCAAGGATGGTAGCCGTACGAGATTACTACACCAAAAATGGTTAGTATAATGTTGCTACGTACTAAAGTACCTATACGTCATTGTGGCACTTAGGTGTTTATTGTGTACCTTGCAATCTCATTTATCATACATTGGGCTGTGAATGGATATTTTGGAATATTCTAATTGATAAGTATGTTAGGCGTACAAAATAATGTTTCGCATGTTATTTGATGGAAACTTAGCTTATCAAGTCAATTTTATGCGTTAATATATTTTATACGATCAAACTCGTATTTTGATCTTTTATGAAATATTTATGTTTTTATATGCCTCATTTATTATATATGCCTCACTAAGTGTATACTTAGCGTGTGATAATTTTCACACGTAGGTAATATTGTACGATTGGAGTGAGGGATGCAGCTGACATCATCTGTCAATGATTGCCTCATCAGAAACAGTATGACATCTCTAGATGTTTATTTTGATATTACTAGTCGGTATGTACTTAGACATTATATGATGCTTGGCCCAATGTGATATTTTTAGCCCAATCAGGTTTAAGGTGTTACACTTTAGATTAGTTTCAAGACTATTAATGCTACATTTATGGCCTATATACATATGATATGCATGCTTATTAGTCATTAACTTCTTGAAATATGATAGAGTAGTCTTGTACTCACTAGGGTTATTAGCTCATTCTTCTAATTACCATTGTATGTTTTGGTATTTAAGGATCGCGATGGGACAATGATATTTCCAGTAGAGTTTTAGTAGAAGTATCAGAGTACAATAAAGAGTTCTTGTAGGGTCATGTACAGGTTATGGTTGTCAATTATTATTTGAGTCATATTATAAAAATATGTTATATTGTTTTAACTTATATATGATCTTTGAACAAAGGAACTCCAATTTTATAAATTACATATTTTTTGTAATTGTTATAAAGTGTTATAAAATTTTGAGTAAATCATGTGTTTCAAAATTCGAAAAGTCTCAGTTCATCACAGTGACCCAATGTGATATCTTCGATTCTAGTACAGTTCTTGGATCGAGTCAAGGTTATTACATTTAGTGGTATCCGAGTTAGAGTTTAGTCAGTTTTAGGTTAACCTAGACGAGTTCTTCATTCCCTAAAGGTTGGCAAATGTACTTGTAGACTGAGGCTATGATATTGTTCGTCCATTATTGATTTGTAAGTTATATTATCCCTAATTAATAACAATTTAAAGATGGATTAATTGTATAATTTTTTATAAATGATTAAGAATGTAGAGCACGATTCTCATCTACAACAGTATGTCAGATATTAAAATGTGTAAAGAAAAGTTAGAAAGATTAAAATCATCCCTTCCTACAATAAGAGACGGAAGTGCATACTAATTAGAAATATTATAAAATTTAGAATTAAAGTAAGTAGCCAATTGATAAGATATGTATAAGATTGAAAATATTTACAATATGATAAACGATTCTTAAGATTTAAAATGTTGATTCGAACAACCTCTTACAATTAGTATTGTAAAACTAAAATGATGTCAAAAGTCCTTCTTCAACCACGTCTTGAATATCAAAGTGCATAGTGAGGGTAAATTATTCCTATTAATGTGAGCGTTTTGGGTTTTAAGAGCCTTAAAGTGATTCTAGCATGTCTAAATGTTTAGAAACCACGTTCTTATCTTTATTAAGCCATTATATGAGTCATTTCCAATGGATCATTATATTGAGAGAAATGAGTGAAGGCTCCAAAAGTAAAGAAAAAGGGAAAGAGGTGGTTGGTTGAGCCTTGGGTTGTTTATTCAGCCTGTAGGTGAAAGGTAAAACATTTCTAACCTTTCTCTACTACTAGTAGATCAGCATGCATAGTTTTGATGCATGTTTGAGTGTATGAGCCATTTGTGTACACTTAGGGGGTTAAGCATGAAAACGGGATTTGTTGTTATTCATGTGTAAGTTCATGTTCCTTAAGTACTAAATAATCTTTAAACACTATTTGGGGGCCTTAGGGACACTTTAGAAGAGAATTAGATGATTTTAGATAAGTGAAATAGAGTTTTCTAAGCATAGGGTATTGATACTTGTTGAGTT